AGGTCCCTTCCAGTCCTGTGATTCTATGATTTTATCACATATCTCACAATATTTGATGTTTTTACTAAAGCTCAAGCTCCTGGAGTCAAATGATTCAATGAGAATCTCATCTTTCATTATTCCTAGCCCTCACAGTTGCAGAGGAAAATTTGAAAATGTGACCCAAGTACACCCTAAAGGCTCAGAATCCAGAAGACAAAGAAGAAGAACGCTAATAGATTTTTAAGCAATTTCATGATTTCCTTATTCATGATTTTTGAATGCTTTGGGATGGTATCGTTCACCCATATGTGCACCCCCCACAACCTTGAGAAGCTTCCATTATCAGGGAAATTATCTGATTGGCTGTTATCCAGCAAACCTCATAGTCATGCTAAAACTCATCTGTGCTTTGGGGTGGGCAGGAAGCATGGAGGGAGGGCATATTGGGACAATAATAGCAAAGCAGATTGGGTGAGACACCTTGAAAAAGGGAAAGAAAGAAGGGGAGAGATGTCTGGATGGAGGAAGAGAATGAGAATGGAGGAAAAACAAGTAAGATATGTACCTAGCATAACCATAACATTTTGATTCCTTATTGTTGTTTGCCTTCTTTGTTTAGACTGTAAATTCTTCAGACAGGGACTGGGTGTTCCTTTGTGTTTAAATAGAACAATTAAATAGCCAGCCACAATAATTAAATAGAGGAGTAGGAATACAAAATGAGTGTATGAGCATAAGTATGTGTTTAGCCTTGGCTATCTGAACTTCAAGGATAGTTTCGCTACTCAACCACAATATATAACAGCAAGGGCTATGTTGAGAAGTGTATTCCCTAGGTAACTTTTTGCATTTCTTTTCAATCCCTTCATAGAAGGTGTGAACACCTATCTCCTAATACCATACTTTTGGCTCCAACTTAGGCCTCCCTGAATGTTATCTCATTTTCTCTTTTTTGCACACTGAAGAGTGCCTGACATTTAAAACCAGATAACAGTAGCTGCCTGGTAGCAAAGGGGAAGGTTTCCATTCACACCAAGCAGCATAAACACTGATCACTATCTTTGTTCAATTGTCTTTGAAACAAAGCCCAGAATGCAAAAGACTGCTGGGTACAAAGAGTGGAAGGATGATAACAGTCTTCCATTCTGCAGTGACCTCTCCAGAGAGAGCCACCCCCATTCAGTGGAGCATATAGTGAAAGGCATTTGTCACAAAGGGAGAAAGTTCTGTTCCTGTGGCAGGACTGAGGAATATTATAATGTTGTTTTCCACCTGGTTTGCAGTGAGATGATAAAAAACAAATATGTCCGATATCAAATTAATTCATCCTTTTTATAATGTTGATGTTACAAAGCCATAGGGAACCCAGCCACTTTTCATTTAAAGGCAAAGTTTTTCATCCTAGAACACTGACATATGTTACTCTGAGTCTGCACCTAACAGCATATGCAGATTGTTACTGTCTGATTGTGAGCTTTTTTCCCCTCAAAATTTCACATGGGTGGTGATCAAATGTTATGATAGGATGTAGGGAATTGAAAGACACATTATATGCTGAATTCATAACACTATTTGTTTCTGACAGCGAACATTCTTTTTAAAGCTTCTATTGGGTGTCTTAATTATTGTGGTATAGGGATGGGCCCGCGCTCCAGAGTTTGTGGTGCTCCACTCTAGGACACAGTTCAGCCCATTACAGACAAGAACCATGTACAAAGTTTAGGTCCAGATACCTCACAACTGAGAATGTTAGCAGTTCAGGCCTCTCTCTATTTTGGAGAGCTTTCAGGCTATAAACGTTTTATAGAATAACTGTGGCCTGATTTAAATAAATGAATTAGATTTGAGCTTTGTGACATAATGGCCAGCAGTCTAGGAGGACGTCTCATAAAACCAGTTAGATGGTATCTTTTGTAGTGAAGCTAAATTTACTTTAAAAGATTATTTGCTTCAAAGTCTTTATTCAGTAGTATTCTTGCTATGTGAATAAGCTGTGTAAAGATCTGGGGTTTGAAATATGTTTTTTATGGAATGACAAGGAAGAAAGTGAATCTGTCAAAATTGGTTACCTGAAGACAAAGGGAAAATTAGCAGTCCCAATCCAAAAACTGTGTAACTGACTTGTCAATTACAAGTACTTAAATGACATTTATAAATGGCCCCCAGAGCAATACCAAACAGTGCTGGATGCCTCTCTTTGGGGACCTTCTTCTATTTCATTTTTAATGTTTCACAACAAAAATAAATTCCTGGTTTCCACTGCTTTTTGTCTGATGTTTTGGATTTTTTTTTTTGACAGCATGGAGACAAGTTAATTTGAACATTATTTAGCACATTTTGCTATGTTGTGAGTTTCACAAAAGAGGACTTGTGATGTTTGATAACATTTATAATACTTCCCAGTCTCATGTTTTCTGTTCACTTGCAAGCCTGCATTTTGACTCACCAGTCTGACACAAGAGACTTCAAAACAAGTCACACTAGTGTCAAGTGGGTATAACAGAGTGTCTGCTTCAAGTATAATTGATGGTGCAAATCAGAGGTAGAAAAAATGGGAGAATATTTTTCCATGAAAATATTTGCCACAAAAATATTTCCATGAGAAGTCTGTCAACAAGCCAACTTGTTATATTTTTTCACAACAGTTATAGAGTCTGAAAATTGTTCTCAGGGGAACATGGAGTAAATCTGAGAAGTCCCTTCAGCGCACACATTTAAGGAGGTGAAGGAAGTATCATAGGTAGGGCCCAGCAAATTCACGGTGGTGAAAAACATGCCACAGTCTGTAAAATCTGATCTCCCCAGTGAAATCTGCCGGGGAGGGGCAGGGCTGGGGACTCCGCAGCCATGGCTCCTACCATGCGCTGGGCTCCAGCTGCTAGTCACATAGTTTGTTTGTTTGTTTGTTTTTGGAGGAGGGGAGCAATGCCACCCCCTGCCATCAAACTATGCCCATGATAAAAGGGGGGCACAACCCCTGGTGCACCCCCCCACGAGTTTCAGCATCACTGTCCCCCCACTCCTATAAAGGTTCCAACACCCTTGCCCCCAGCCCTGCCCCTCCCCTGCTCCAGGCCCAGTGCTTGGGGGATAAAAGGGCATTGGGCTGAGTGGGTGTGTGTATGTACCACAGTGCTCCCCTGACTACGGGGCCCTGGCGGTTGCCCACCCCCAAAAAATGATGACCCCCACACACATACCATGCGACCCTTGCATCTGTGCTGCCTGTTGCTCTCCATTTGCCCAGCTCTGAACGCAGTTCCTCCACCAGCAGCTGCGCAGAAGTAAGGGTGGCAACACTGCAACCCTCCTACAATAGACTTGCAAACCTGCCCCCCCAACCCTCTTTTGGGTCAGGACCCCCATGGTAATAACTCCATGAAATTTCAGATGTAAATATCTGAAACTGTGAAACTGACTATTTTAAAAATCCTATGACTATGAAATTGACCAAAATGGACTGTGAATTTGGCCAGGCCCTAATCATAGGACTAGGAGACCACAACTCCTGAAATCTCTTGCCATTGAATGACCTTAATTACACTTGTTATAAAGCACTTATGTTCTTAAGATGAAAAAGTCACAATGCAGTAGGATAGGGCTCTTTAAATCTTACATTCAAATCTAGGGAGAAGAGAAGAGTCACTCTAAAAATCTAGTCCACTTGAGTTTGCACTTGTGAAACTCTCTAAAAAGCCCTGGTGAAAGGTTTCTGACCTTTATTATCTTTCTTCAGGATAAAAAGCATTAGATTAGATTTTTCAAAATGCTAAAATTATGTTTTACAAGTAATGTGTTCTCTGCCATGGAAAGGGTGATACAGAGACAGAATATAATACTTGAAAATGTAAGGCTTAAAACTCTGAGGAATAAAAAACACAGGAAAATTATTTTTCTCTTTTTAAAGCAAGCAGGTGAGGATAATCAAAGAAATCTAGTAGGTTTTATTCCACTTCCACTCAGACCTTTAAACAGAAGAGCAGAAACACTGTTCATAGATGGGATCACTTCGTTCTCAGTTCTCTACAAACTGGGATTTGCATAAGCTCTGCTGATCCTACTGGGATGATAAGGCAACACAGAAGGATAAATCATCATACCTAAGGCCTCTAGTGCAAAAACCAGAGAAATCCGATGGATTTACATTTTACAGTCTACACTACCTACAATGTTAAAAATAGTTGTTAGAAGGATAAAACTGTCAAGGCAGTAACTGAAATATGCAAATCTGTCGAGAAAGAAGGCCAAAGACATCATTTCATTATATAACCTTTCTACTCTCCTTTGCTGATTTGTTTTTGTCGGATCTGGATTATTAAAGAAAGTGCAGTGATGCTGCTCTTCTAGATTTTGTTCCCGCCCCAACAATATGATTTAATTTAAGAAATAGTTGGTTTAAAGAGTTGTTAGTATACATTTTCTATTTAAGTATTTATACCGTATTTCTAACTTTATATATTCTGGGACTACTTAAAATAGTTAGGTATGCTAATCTGCATTCATTTACACCTCTACCCTGATATAACGCTGTCCTTGGGAGCCAAAAAATCTTACTGCATTATAGGTAAAACCGCGTTATATCGAACTTGCTTTGATCCACTGGAGTGCACAGCCCTGTGCGCCCCCACCCCCGGAGCACTGCTTTACCACGTTATATTGAATTCATGTTATATCGGGTCGTGTTATATAGGGGTAGAGGTGTTACCACATTTTTACATACAACTTGGTAATTGTGTTTGTAAGTCACTAGAAATTACCAAGATTATGAAGAAGCAAAACCCGCACTTTTAGACATGTATCTCTGTATATAGTTATCTGCATCTAAAAACTATTGGCTGCAATTGGAGGCTTTCTGGATTTACAGTCAATATAGTGATTTCCATACAGAAGAATCCTAGAAGTGGTTTACAAATGCTATTTGATATGCTACTGTACCTATAAGGCTATCAATAGAGATACATACAGGGTTGGGCTTAATAAGTATTAGCTCTAAGGGGGAGCGGGAGATTTGTGTATTTTATGAGGAGCTGCTATTACATTTTATTTTGTTCCTGGCATTTGTGGCAGAGGCAATCAGAGCCTCAGATAAGTGTTCCTTTCTATTATTGCTTACATCCAAATAAACACATTTTAATAAAATATATAATTCCACTCACTGTTGAAATGCAACATCCTCTAAGAAGAATACATGTCAGCAGTCATCGCACAAAACAACACTGCCTGACAGTTTTTGGACAGTAAGTAAAGAACAATACAGTATCCAATTAAACAGGGAACATTTAAAATAGCATAATTTAATTTATGGCTTATGACTGGGATACTGGGAGCTAACATGCCTTTTGGAAGAAAGTCTAGGGAATTTCACCATGCTAAAGCATTGTTGCAATATAATGTGAAAGGGAGGAGTGCCACTTAATTCCTCTCCTTACCATGAGCAGTGATTTCCATGGAGGTCTCCTGTCAAAATACCGACCTGATCTGATGAGAACATAGCATGAGATTATATTACTCCATAGCTCCAAGAGAGCTAGAAAAACAGAGATGCATGGGAG